TGTACGACATGCAGGGCCAATCCTAAGGTTTTTGATGCCATAGGCGAAACATCTAAGAATGCCCTCTCTAAGAAACACTAAATTGTTTGGGAATCTACACAAAATTTACACTTAGGATAACATAAAAAAATTTGTTCAATGACTTCTAATTTATTAAAATTTGATAACATGTTTCGTTAAGTTTAGAAGTATACGGGATAATTGTGAGAAGTTTTGGATTCAAATGACTGACCATGTATTGTGAACTGTCATTTGTTTTGTACCGACTTATATATGTGTTTTTTTTAACAGGTTTGGGATATTTCCTTTGGAAAAAGAGAGACATGATCAATAAGGCCAATCGAAACACACAGTTTGAGGGGGTGTCATCCAGGCACACCTAGGGATCGATCAGTACTGCACAGGATCGACACAAGATGGTGAATATATATATTTTTTGAAATGTAATTAGTTCTCTATGTATACTAACAATTTAACCTAATTGTCTAATGTAGGGACAAGTAATGGGTTGTGAGCTGATTGCTACTGGGGTGTTTGTGCGTACTCACTGCATGAACCAGAAGTTCGATCTAGGTTTATCCGTCCCGCCTACTGATCCTTCTCAGTTCAGCTACCCCAAAGCTGCTAGATATCATGTAAGTTTTCTAAAAGCATTACTTTGGTTTATAGATACATTTGGTAGGTTTAAAGTAATATATTTTAATAACCATAGTGATGCAATTTTGGGTTGTCGTTGTTGGGCAGACGTTAGGGTAAATAGATAGGTTGGGAATGTGATTACCATTGGTAATTAGAATGCTTTAAATGTTAACAACATGCATTGGATATGTTTGATTTACAGTTGTTATGATGTTGAAGTTTCTACATATACAACCTCACTAGTTTTTTTTAGTGAACAATAAGAGCGATTTCAACCGCTTAGGGATGAGTCACAATCTTGTGCCGACACCCCTCCCCCTGATGAGGTATCTTTTTGGGAGCAGAGTGTCACATGACGGAAGAAGGGTCGTCTTTTTGGTTTCAGGTTCTCCCAGGATCCCTCTTATGATATGACTAGTAGAGTAGCAGTAGCACCGGGAGATCATACCATATCGGATCAACAACGGAGGTATGTTGGTTATATTGTTATATACTTTCTCATTACTTTCGTTGTGAACAAATTACTGATTTTGTCGAATATCGAATATTTACAAGTAGCGGAGTTGAGAGAGAAGTTTGCAACTAGAGGAGGCGGTGCGGCTATGGGAGGAATGTCATTAGGCCGAGATGGAGGCCGAACATGCCAGAGACGCTGCCAAGTTAGCCGAACACATATTGCATTATCAGAGCATTTTGTTGCGTTTATGCGACAGTCAGAAAATATTTTCCCTCCTCCCCACCTTCCGGTAGTTAGATTATATGAATTTGAGCATTAAATTGTATGAATTGGTTAGTTTTAATTTGTTAACATTTTTGGTTTGTTATTTTATGGTCAAGTTTTGTATAAATAAATATAGGAATTATGTAATTATAAATTATTTATTTTTAGATTATTAAATATTAGCAACTGATTAGCGATGGATTAAAAGTTTTTGGTCCATCGCTAATTCGTCGCTAAAATTCCCTCACTGATTCATGGCTAAAAGATTTATTTCGCTAATCCGTCGCTGAAAAAAGTCCCTCACTAATCTGTCGCTAAAATAATCTGTTGTTTATCTCTCGCTGAAAGATTTCCCTCCCCAATACATCACTGAAAGAAATTCCTCGTTAATCTGTTGCTAACAGAATCCATCGTTGATTCGTCGCTAAAAGTATCCAACGTTAATCCGTCGCTGAAACATTTTCGTCGCAAATTCGTCGCTGAAAGTTTTCCGTCGATAGTGCGTCACAAATCTGATCGTTGATCCGTCGCTAAAATCCGTCATTGATCCGTTGCTGATAACATTACTTACGTGCTTTTAACTGACGGACGATCAACGACGATATAAGCCTTTAGCGACGGATTTGCAACGGAATTTTCTTTCGTTGTTACTCCTCATTTTTGTAGTGAGAGGGTTTACCTTGAGTTTCCAGTATTTGGGTTTTTCTTTCTTCAAGTGATTTAGTGTGTGAGTTGTGGTGAAACCGATTTCCAAAAAAGAAAGAGTGCAGGTTTTGGAAGTTAGCTTGAAATCCTTCCTTTCTTGAGGTATGTTTATCTTCCAGATTAATAAGAATTAGGGTCTTTTTTTTGTTTTTTTTTTTTTTGTTTTTGTTATCTTTGGGTTTTAAGCTTGAATGTTCATATTAGCTTTTCTTGTTAAAAATCGATTTTGAAGGTGAGTTTAGTGTTTCCATGATATTTCATAAATATTGATGGAAGTCTTCGTCCAGAAAGTTATGTATTTGGTTCTTCCCCATTATTGCTAAGTAACCTGCTACTTAGCTTTTACTTGAAGTTTTCCTTCTATGATCCATGGTTTAAATTCTAAGGGTTTCTAAAAGATGTTATATGAGTTGCATCATATGATTTTAAGGCTAAAATATGGAAGTTTTGGTTTATAATGTTAAGTTTTGAGTTTGGTTGAAATCTGGAACCTGATGTGAATGAGGAGAAAAGGAGGTCGAAAACAGTGATTCCTACGACCTAGCGACCTAAGTCGTGCGGCTAGTCGCACAACTCATTGTTGTGAGTTTTTCTTGTTTTTCCTTCGTGTTCATTTTGACATTCAAACTTAGTTTAATTGATATTTTGGGTGAAACAGAGTGTTATTTTGAGGTTTGGTAAGTTTTTGAGCATATCAGGTTTGTGTAGGTCGATATTACTTACTAGTGACCTATACACCTTATGTTGCGACCTTAGTCGTGCGGCAGGTCACAAGCCACTATTTTGTGGTATTCTTAATTTTGCCTTGTGTCGTTTTGGGGCCTCTCAAGGTATCCTTCTTGTGTCTTAGAGAATGTTACGAGTTAAGATTGAGTTTATATCTCTTAATTGTGATCCATACTTATTTGATTCAGTTTCGAGTGTTCGCTATTGGGATTCGTAACCTGTTAAGAATTTAGAGTATTTTTGTGATCAAGGTGAGTTTTCATATAACCATTTTCGAACTAAATGCATATATAATCAAATGATTGTTATTTCCATGTTATACCTTATTAGTATGTTTGGATTATTACATTTAACTCTGATACGGTTTTTACATGTTAGAAATTAACACATGTGGTGTAATGATTTATTCTTGGAGTTGAGGGACTTGCACAACATAAGTCCGTGTGCATTATGACTTTGATGGTCCGTGCAGAAGATATATATATATATATATATATATATATATATATATAGAGAGAGAGAGAGAGAGAGAGAGAGAGG